AAAATATACTTTATTCTCTGTTATAATTTAATATAATCTTGATGTATAGGTTTATAGATTATAGCAGCAATAATTACAATTGTACAATGTACATGATATATTATTTTGTAATTTTCTATCTACAAAATAAAATAAATAGGTATACCATTTTTATCATTTCAAAAACATAAATATTACAAATCTGGAATACGAGCATTTATTTATAACAAAATATAATGATCTCAAGTTAAATCTAGTAAATCTAGGCAATATATTTATTTGAAACATAAAATTATAAAATGCATACCTAATACAAAAACTTGTGTACAATTATAAAATTATTTTTTAATATATTATTATATAATATTATATTAGTACTTATCAATATAAATTTAAATAATACATTATAATTTATTAAATTAAGTAATACCTWTTATTTTTATTAAATAAGCTTAAATACAAATACAATTCAAAACCAATACATTTTAAATTTAATATCCAATAATAATTTATGTTTTTATAAATGAAATGCGACAATGCCAATTCCCATCAATCAAACAACCTTAGAATCGAACGTGTTAAACAAAAACCTAAGTAATTTAAATTCTCCAGTCAAAATTCATTAGTGTCCTATCAACGCATCTGCTTCTCGGATTTGAGAAGTACATACTTCTTAAAAATTAATGTGTATTATTATTTTTCAATGTAATTCAGGTCGCGGTTATAGAATTTGGAGAGCAAGGGAAAAAAGAAGAATTGAGTGTGGTCCTTTGTTCAGTGATAAAAGTGTGTTTAAGTACACTGCAAGGGATTCACCATGTCCAGTTTACAGCAATGGCCATAATCAATAGAGTTATTGATATTTCTGTACAATACAACGTGTCTTTTACTAAAGCTGCTGAATCTGACTACTTGCACCATCCACACTATGTATCWGAGTAAGTTTTACTAAATAATAAATTAGTATCATTTAATTTTTTAATACACTTTGACCATTTCAGTATATACTTATACATAGTGTTAAATAAATTTTAAGTTCCTACAGAGTAAACGGTAGTAGATAAATATTGAATACTAAAGTATCTATGTCCTTTTTGAAGTTATAAAAACAATAATATGTATGTATAAAAAAAAAATCTCATTGAAGAATTAGTTTCGTATTTGATATTTTGTAAATTTTCACAGTATTTGCATCCCTAAATTGTTTTATTAATAATATAGTAACYATTAACGAATTTGTTTGAAGTTTCAATAAGTTTATCGCTTGAAATGTTGAAATGAAAAATTGAAGTTTTCTTGAGCTGATTTTTTATAACATACGAAGTATATTGTTAGAGATAATTTTAGATTACGAATCTGAAAGGTTTTACACTTTGAAATTAGAAGGTGTGAAATTGTGCGTTTTTTTGCATTAAGAAATTTAATAATTTGATGGGTACCATCAGAAGAATTGTTAGGGAATAGTGTATTGTTTAGGAGATTTTGAAGTGAAATATTTTATGTAAAACGAGATTTACGAGTGATTTACATAAAAGGTTATGATTTAARTTAAATATTGGAGGCATCTGTTTGTTTTTTTTTCAAAGATTAGTTTGAAAGATACACAGGGTATTAAAAAAAACCACGATTGACCTAACTGCCTATAATGATTTACTTCCACGGTTTCACTTCAAACACTTAGTAAATGCAATACCTTTTATTACAGGTGTATTGAAGTATATATTTTTTTATCATATAATGTGTATTAAACTATTGTATAAATAATTATTTTTTTGTAATATACAATTTCAATGCAGTAGGAATTCATAGAAATATCAGACAAAGATGAATACCTACATTTATCAGGAAAAAAATTGCAGAGAATGTGTAGTGTGCACATTCAAATTGTCGGATTATTGTCTGTGTTTTTTTGTGTTTCTATGTTTTAGTCGATATGTCTGTAGCCACTTTCGTTTGCTCATGTTCGGCGTATTAGTGTCGTCGGTAGATGATAGGTAATCATTCGATAAACAGTCACAAAAAGTAACGMCACACAACACAACCATGTTACGTCGAGAAACGGGTGCAATATCGAATAGAACAATAATATAACGGTCACGACGTTTGACAATGTCAAACTCATCTGTGCAATAAAAATATGATATTATAATATGATTTATTACGATAATTGGTTTAAGGCTGACCAATATTGTCAAATAAAAAAAATAAAAATGTTTATAATATTATGCTTCTATAATATTTATATAAAATATACTCTTAGCCTTCCAATTCAAGTCAATGTTTCAGTGCTGAAATTTCTTTCATCATTATCACTTCTGAGTTCCTACTACCTTTTTTTACAAACAAAGTATAATCAGATAAAATGTATAAAATGTATAATATTATTTAATTTACAAAGTTTAGTGTTCTCATTGTGTAGGTAGATATTAGATAATATTTCCAACTATACGTTAAAGTCACTATTTACTTTTCTGCAAATATCAAAAATTAGTCATTTTTCATATATGAAACAACTATTTGTAGAACATAAGTTATCAAATTAAATTAAATTAAATTATTATATTATTTGATTAGACAAAATAACCATGGTAGCTATTAATAATTGTCACTTTATTGTTGTGGTTTCTGAATTTGTGTTAACCTTGCTGTTAAAAAAAAGAACTTAATTCAAACTTAAATTTATATTTCACCAAAGAAACATAGTTTGTGATTGATCTAATATTACTAGTTTCTATGATAAATTGTGGAGCTGAATTGAAAAAACAATGCTCAAATCATCGCATGCCAACGATGACGAATTCTTAATAATTGTATATTATATACTATGCATTTGTTAAGATATATCATTTTATTTTGTACTTTCATCGTGTTTTTAAAGTACCTACTATAAAAGTGGTATTGGTCTATTGAATGCGTTACATGATTTACGGTTGTCATTTTGTCAATAAACGTAAATAAGAGTAATTAGTATGAATATAATTTTATTGACTTAGATACGAGAACTGTATTATTAACYTTATACTAACATTATTACAACTTATATAGAATGGGAATTAATCAGTAGCTTAAAAACTAAACCTGTGCAATTCTTTGTATAATCAGCTAGATAGTAATCCATCTTGTATTTATTGCTATCTGATCGTTTATTGTTTTGTGAGTACGTTAAACACTTATATAAAATTCTATACTTCTATGTCTTATTCCAAACAAATGTGGTTAGTAATATTAGAAAAAAAAAACAATGAAATATTACTTAAAAGTATAATTTTTAAGTCTACATCAATATCAAATCGAATGGAAACATTGGATATTTATATTGTTTTTATCCCTAACGTACATTTTCATATTTAAATCTATTTTGTGTTTAAATATCTATGTACATATGGAATTAGGCTTGTTAAGATTTATGTAATAAATAAATTCTGTATAATACAATATAATTAAGCATTTTAAATAATAAAATAAATTCGAAAAACAAATAATTCTTCTTTTGCATTGAAGTTTCTAAATGTATTCGTTATATTAATTATTTATTAATTATTTGTTCCTAGAATGAATAAATTCAAATCAATCCAAGATGATTYAAGTACTGATGATGATAAAACAAAATTGGGTGGTCCAAATAAAAAATTGACATCCATGTGGCGTTATTTCATCGGAGATCAGACATTCAGTAACAAAACTGAGAACTCAAAAATGAATAAGAATGCTAGCGAAAGCGTGATTGGTGAGTACCGATTGGAATTTAAATAACTTGAAAGGTCTTTAATCAGTTATTGATAAATTACAATAAGCGTATTTCTGTTATTTCAGGAATTTTATCCAACGTTCACGTCTTATCGATTATCAATGTATTGCACAATTCTCTAACCCTATACAAAAGAGTTATTGGAAGTAAACGTTTGTGTCCACCGAGTCATAGGTTCGCACAAAAATAATATTAATCATCATTGCTCGTAGTCAACACTATTAAATATACACATACATAAATTAATAATAACAATAATATTATAGTAAATTCCAATTATTGATAAAGCCTTTATCTACTTTGGTTTAGATCCAGTCATTGCAGTTATCATTGTTTGCAAATACTCAGCGCTCGGACATTGCTATTCATGTCGCTAAATGATAATGTAAAAAGCGAGCTCGTGAAGGAACCACAATTAAAAATATTGGCTGCCTCACTTGAATCTACCAACGATCCGGTCAGTACCTACATTAAATATTACACTGTAGTTGTAACAGAGGTCGTTAAATGTGAATTGAGATAAGTGACATTATTATACATAAAGTAGAAAACGACATGTATGTAGGCACAGTATTAATAACGAGTTACCTACACATTATGACGGTGAGTATACAACTATAAATGAAACGCATTCTATATGCTTACTTACCGTTACAGTCTGGTGTCTTAGAAAAAAATTGTTACATAATATTTCAGTAAGTGCACTTAGAGTTTATTTTATTTTTTATGTTTTATTCATTATAACTTAAGAAGTTTTTATGGGGATTAGTCTAGCGAGTCCTGCAATAAATACATTAATTATACGTCTTATAGGTAGTATTAAAATATTAAAAATTGATTTTACAAAGTTGTTTAAGAAAAAGAACAAGTTTAAGATTGAAGATTAAATAAAATACAGACATTATCTGTTTTTGCAAGCAACACTTACGGATTTGTACTGAAATACGGAGTTTAACTTTATATTACGAGCAATTTATTTATTATAAATAACATTATAATAATACTGCAGTTAATATAATAATTATATTTAATGCTCAATTAATATTACAAATTGTTTAACTAAAAAAATAATATTAAACATAGAATACCTATTTATATAGAATATGTTCTATATTAAAATGAAGTATTTTCAAAAATTTAAACTTTTACATAATATTACAAAATTCAGTATGCAATTAAATTTGAAAGGTGAATAAAAATTTAGATTCATTTATTATATGTCACAATATAATTAAAACTAAACGATTTCAATAATTACAAAGGATAAACACTGAGAGTAAAAATTATCATATTTTCTTTGAATGAAAGGTATGTGTTCATTATTTATGTAGTTCAAACAGTGAAAAAAGCRTTAACATTTATTTWAAAAAAATATTCAACTTATAACTATAGATTTTTAGAATCTGAGTGAAACTATGAATGTATTAATTTTACAATGATTCGTGTGTTTTTTTGGTCTAAGAATACGATAAGTTGTCAAAATAGGAATTTGATTTTCAACTTCAGTAGCTTTTCCGGTTGAAAAGTGAAACTAGTTGGTAAATTGGAAAGGTCAAATTTTTAAATTCTCAGTAGTTTTCAAAAGTACCGGAAAAACAAAAAAAAATTAAAAATTAAGGAAAAACTTCACGCAAAATAAATTTTAGATATTGGTGTAACTAACTCTAAAAAAAATTTACCGTTGATATATGAAATGTTCARTGAATATTTATACTGTCATTTTCTATACTTGATACAATTTTTAAAATATTTCAAAACATTTTAAGTTGTTTATAGACTTTTGAAATTTTGAAATTTCTATAATTGAAAATAAAACTGTATTCGTTAGGTAAGAAATCTTAAAAATGTAATACAAGGCTCCTAATATACTATTTTCAAAGGTAATTAAAAAATATTAAAAATACATAGCCACATTTTTTTTTTTTTTAATAAGTTAAAGTTCGAATCATGACAAAATACATAAAAACTAAAAACCACTAAAATTTGCAATTTATTTTGAGTTAAAAATGTATAAAAAATTATCTTTTTAAATTTAAATTATTTTTTTTTTAAGCAAAGATTTAAAAATTCAATACGAGATTCTTAAAGATTTCTTATTATTTTTCTAAAAATAATCACTGTAGAAAATTGAAATTCACGCCATATGTTTATTTCTCAATTCATATACTTGATAAAAGTTTCAAAATATTTCAAAAATTTTTAGGCTGTTTATAGATATTTTAAATTTTCCGTTTTTTTTTTTTTAATTTTTTTAGTCTATTAAGTATAAATTTCAATAAAATTTTATTAATTAGGTCAAAAAATCTGAAAATTTAATACAAGATTCCCCATAAGTTGATATAATAAGAGTTATAGAAAAATATTAAAAGTACATTGGCATGTGTTTTTTCTTTTATAACCGTTTAAAGTTCAAATTTTAACAAAATGTATTTAATTGAAAATGTAAAAATAATTCAATTGTTAAAAATGTATAAAATATTTGACTTTCATATCTAAGGACTGAAATAATATAATATAATATAATTTTAAAACAAGGTTCTACGTAAGTAGTTAATTCTGTTGCAAAAAAATATTAAAACTATACAAACACCGTTTTTTTAAGTTTAAATTTGGATGAAATTACATATTAATTTAWATCAACTGTATGTGAATATTATGTTGATTCAATACTTTGGTTGTTAAAATATTTAAAGTTATACTATGAATTAATTCATTGCACATTAAAAATAATATTTTAAATACCAAACTAAATAAAAATAAACTTTTCCAATAAAATATTTAAATTAAATTAGAATGAAAAAAATATGTTAGTGAGAATAAATAATATTTAATTTTTAATAGTAATTGTTGGGGATACGAGCTTTGCATATTTAAATATTTATCAAGAATTGTTAAATATTTACTTTTTTTCCCCTGTTAGAATCGGTAGCAGAGGAGGATCTGTTTGCACAATGCCACTCCTATGCTACCATCGTTTATTGATGAAAAATTTAGATAATCACAATTCACAATACATAGAAAAATAACATACAACCAGTCTAATCGGTCAATACTTCATTTTCTTGGCTCGGTGTCGCACGCACCCGCTGGCCTGGTATCTCGTTCTGATTAACCTGATTACTCAAACGTTTGGTGCGGCTCTTCCTACCATCTTTGCTGGCCTCGCATCTTACTCGATGCATCTGAGTATACTTCCAACCATATCATAAAAGGCCTGCGTGGCGCGCTGGGAGGCCACCTGCAATGGATTTTTAAGCAACTTGAAACATAGGTGGGACCACACAGCAGATCCTGAACATCGCTTGGAATGACGCTCCGATTGCCTATGAATCCGTTAACTGCCTGTCTCATAGGTTYCCAGTGAGGATGATACATAATTGTATATTCAGCAGTTTCCGTTGGGTGCTCATAATAGGGGCAAGCCACATCAGGAGCGCGCCTCATTCGATGCAAGTAATACTTGAAGCACCCATGTCTCGTAAGAGCCTGTGTTACGTGAAGCGTGAGGTCTTTAGGACGTCTCGTCACCCATCTTTTCAGATCCGGGAGGATTTTACGCGTCCAGTCTGCGTTCTTACCGTGCCTCCACCTACTGGACCAGTCATTAAGCAGGGTGTCGCGCTCCGCTTTCCGAATCTCCTCCTTGGAGCCCACTCTGTCTGGGTCGTCCATTTTGCTCTGAGCTCTATTGCGTTTCAAAGCAAGAAGATCACAAGGAGTACCGGCGAGAAATAAGGCTGCCTCAGCAGAGACGTTGCGGTACGCCCTCGTAACTCTAAGAGCAGCCAACCTCTGAGACAAAATCATAAGGTTCAGACAGATATTAAACTTTGTTGCTTTTTCTGCTCAAGTCAATGAGGCGTAAAAAAGCCTACTGTTCACCATGGACATTAGCAGCAATCTCTTGGATTGAGAGGGTCCTCCAAGGTTAGGCATAAGCCGCCTAATAGCAAGAGCTGCTTTAGACGCCTTACCCGAGACGGTCCTATAGTGTCCACTAAAGGTTAAATGAGGGTCAAAATTCAGCCCTAAGTATGGCATCTTCCTTAGTGTAGGAACTGGCTGGCCCCCTACTACTAGCACCAGATCTCGGAATACCCAAAGACCATGATTTCCCATCCAGGCATTAATGGCTGCGAATGTGGGGTTCACCACCCCAGCCAGAGCGTCTGATGTCTGTGCAGCTGCGAGAAGGGCCAAGTCATCTGCAAACCCCACAAGCTAAACCCCTTCCGGTACCTCCATCCTTAGGATGTCGTCATAGAACACGTCGCATAGAGTGGGGCCAATTATTGATCCCTGCGCGACACCTATAAGAATAGATAAYGAGGGACCCCTCCTCCGTCGAAGAGCCTCATCCACATGATTCCAAGGCGCTGAGTTTAAAACGTGTTTTGAACGCCGAGTGCTACCAAAACGCATAGTTCCTGCGTTTGTRCGGGACTATGATTGGCCCGGGTAGCCAAATCTAGAACCTTGTTTATCACTTCCTCGGTAGGAAAACCTCTTCTGAAGCAAAACTGGTTGGTACTGAGTCCATTCGTCTTGTAAAGGTGCTCGTTTAGCCTTGATAAGAGAATCCTCTCAAACACCTTACCAACAGAATCTAAAAAGCAGAGAGATCAAAAGCTATACGGGTTAGTGACTGGCTTGTCCGGTCCCTTATGCAGAAGTAAAAGTCTGGCCCGTTTCCACCTAACCAGAAAGACTGACTCATGTAAACATMGGTTGTACATTTTAACGAGTATGTCAGGAGAATAATTGCTCCCTATCAGCGATAGTATTTCATTAGGGATCCAATCGATCCCCGTAGCCTTGCCCTTCAACAGTCGTGAAACTGCTATTCTAATCTCCTTAGAGAAAATAAGGAGAATTCAATGTAAAGGACCAACATTATTGTCGCTAGCGGTAGTGAGTGTGAAGATAGGATCTATTTGACCGTCTATGAGCACGTGTTTCCAGTTAATGATTGGCCTAYGGTGAAAAAGGTGATCAGTGATCTCTATTTCACGTMCTATAGCCGTTATACCTGGGGCCTGTCTGCCTAGCCACCCTGATACAATTCTGTAAGTGAAACCCCAAGGATCGTTATAAACTGATGAGCAAAGTGCTGCCTAACTTAGCTTTTGGGATTCGCGGATCAAAACGCGTAATGCCTTWCTTGCTTCTCTGGAGGCAATGCTTTCTGCTGTGCTGCCATCCGGCYCTAGTCTCTTCACTGCCCTAAGATAAATGCACCTATTCTTGATRMATTCAGCTCTTAGTTTGGCAATCTTCTAGTTCCGCCAGTGAACTGGTTTCTGTATGTGGACTCCACACAATCTTCTAGGCATACATGTGGCGTCACAGGCGATGATAAGATAGTCGTTTAGAACTCCACCGCTCCATCCACCAAGACTGGGTCCTCCAAGAGTGGTGGTCCCTCCTCCAACTTACAAAAGAGTGCAGCAAGATCAAGATTACGCGTGGCCCATCCAAGATAGTCGCCCTGTCTCATGAAAACGTCGTCATTAAGAGCTCGGGTGAGGTTAAATGCGATATAATTGTGGTCACTACCAGAGTTGTCRTCGAGAACCTCCCAGGACCTCGTACGGACCAGGACTGGAGAAAGTTACGTCGATGAMAGATGTGGACGCTCTTCTCTGAAATGTTGGATGACTTCCAACATTGTTGGTCCAGAGACCAAGGCTAGCAGCGTAGCCCAGTCCAAAGCTAGACTCCTCCGCAACGATGCCTACAATGGTAATCAGTGCTACTGAGCACCGTCCATCCGAACTGGATGACCAGCTCAGATGATTGTACGGTGATCTGTTGTGCTCACTGAGAATCAGGAGGCCGATATCCATGCTTGACACTGTTCTCGGCAGTATCTGTTGTGCGGCCCAGTCAGTGTGGAGATTGATTTKGAAGGTCTTGGATGAACACGGCACATGGTCCATCCAATCGAAATTTGAGTTACCGAAGATGCAGAGGCTCTAGTCATCCTAGCAGTAGCAATTTGCTGACCAGACCTAGTGGACCACTGTATCAAGGTCGACAATCTCAACAACAGTGTGCTGACCAAGCTGAGATACTGTTCCAACCGCGTCACTCAGCCTGGTAGCAATAGCCGMCGACAACTTCTGTGCTGCTACTACGGATCCAGCACCTTTGTCTAGCTCGACTAGCAGATGACCATCCCTGGTTTTACGCATGCCGGGTACTTAAGCTCCCAGCTCTACTAAGTTTAGCTTGCTGTTCTGCCTAACTGCGCTGACGGTGTCTGCGTACGACGAACCAGCAGCTACCTTGACTAAAACCGCAGGGAGTTTAGCCCTGAGCTTCACTCCTGTCCTMGTAAAGGTAGGTTGGCGAGCCTCTGTAGCACTGCAGGCTGCTGCGGCTGCTTTCCAACCAAAAACTTCCTGCCACCCTTCGCCGTCCGTTTCCATCACCAAAGCAGTTCCTGTATCCACGTGAGTTAGTGGCCCGCGCTCACCTGCCTTGACCGAGAGACGTCTAGACGACTCCCTTTTCCGGCGCTCCTGTTCAGTCTCCCACCAATTAGAAGTCAGCACAGTGTCAGTTCCAACGTCAACTATCTTCGGCTTGACGTTGTTTCTACCCTCAGGGTCAGTCGCCAGTACATATATGCATTTCTTAGCTGCTGGGGTAAGAAGTGATGATCTCAATTTCCCTTTCTTAGTTATCATTGGAGCCACGACGTCATAAATATCTTCCAGCAACTTCATGAGACGGCCCGACGCCGGTTTCCCTCCCATTGATTTCGTTTCTTGCATGGCGGTTTTCAACGAATATTTTATAAATGCCAGGCCCGCCTCGATCTGACTATCGCTGACCCCAGGGGGGAGGGGGGGTGCCTGCCCTTTCGTTTAACACCCATGGTTGGTGTGGTATTTCCGTCAGTAAATGATCTAGTACCCCCCAACTCGGCTTCATTTTCCATGACWTCATCTATGGCATAGATTCTATGCCATCACAGTTGTCGTAGTTTCTGCCACAGCGSAGAAATTTTCGGCTATGTGACACCCTGTATAATATATGTATACCCGGGTATAACCTTATGCTATATCGTTTAATTTCCTAATCTGGCTACGCACCACCTGAATTCGCGATAACGAAATGGCGRTAGCGTCGACAACCGTCCGCCGGCTAGCCTTTGGTTGACCGTTTACCGATAATACGTTAGGTAATGTGATAATAAGTTACTCCTACCTTAATCCACAGCCRTACAGCCCTAACTTAAACTACCCTTGCGTTGAAGGAATTAGCGGGATCGACTCAAAATCGACACCGATCCCTGCATGCACTTTATCGGTGCAAAAATCAAAAAAAAAAAACTTATAACAATTGCCAGTGTAAAGTACAGTAGTAACAAGACGTCGCTAAAGCACGTGCTCCCGTTACAATAGCCACCGCTGATATTATGGAATAAATATTTACTTAATTTAATGAGACATATTATGCATATTACGTCATCGATACCATAATACTTTAAGGATGATGAATCTGACGAAGAATAGTAAATCTGTGATAATCGCTGTAAATGACAACATCGTTGTAAAAACTAGAAATACCCAAATCATTTTTTTATTTTTAAAATATAATATATGTCTTATAGGTTACATTTATTTCATACATTTTAGTATTCAAAATGTAAACCATTATTTATTAAATATACCTACTCTAATCTTAGAGCCATCATCACTTTTACAATACTCAACATATTTGTTTAGTTTTTAAGAATATCCTACGAGCTATATTTTCTATTTTACAGTTAAACTAGTGTGTATAAAAAATAAGTAAGAAAGGTGGATTTGGTARGTTTTAGTAATATATATTATACTTTGAATTATTTTAAACTTTATATGAATTAAGATCAAAGATCAAAGAATCTTATATATTGATCATTATAATAAAATGAATGAATTAATATTATTAATATAAAATATTATCGACAAAATAAATATTTATATYATCGTTTAGGTACATAAATTATATAAATATTTTATTTCTCTAATATTTTTTTTCCAAWATCAATACCTGTACCTATAAAGCATAAACCATAAAAAACTTACTTCATTATATTTTTATTAGAACTATTTTATAATAAAGATAATTACATATAATAAAAGCCTTCACCAAAGGTCCTATTATGTGAACTTACGTTAAAATGTGTTATTGAAGTTTAAGCGCATAAACTTATTTCAATTAATCCACCCTTTGACAAACAAAACGATGCTGATTTTGCAATTTTTTGTAACTGACCATGAATATTCTAATACGAGTAATTATCTGAAAAATATTTTGATCGTTTATATAAAAATTATTATATTTAATAAAAACTTCAGGACATAATCATTGTTGTATTATGATAAAAATGCAGTTATTAAAATGTTTTTATTACTTTAAATATTACATTTTATTTAAAATCAGAATCCAATTTAAGTTAAATTAATGTTTTGAAATTGAAATATAATAGACTGCATTCGTAATTGTTTGATATTAAGCACTTATCAGAAATCCGAAAGTAATTCTGTGTATTCGCTACACATTTATAACCAGTAACCACTAACTTACCCAACCATACAACCAGAAATATTAATGAGGCTCTACCATTAAACTCACCACCTATTATAGTATATAGCCTATAATAGTTTACTATATAATACATTATTATTTAACTTAATGTTTTGAGCAAAACGTGTAATATAATATACCGTGATATCATGTGCATAGTTATAGCTACCGAATATACGATACTAAATACTAAATACTTTATAAATTTTGTGCAATTAAAACTTTCAGCAATTACTCGTGTTGGTGTTGCAAATTGTGGCATCCATCGCACTGAACACAAAACATCATCGGGAGTTGATAGATCGTGAAATTCCAACTATTCTGAATCAATTGCTATTGCCATCTGATGAATGGTATTATACGAACCATAGTGACAAATACGGGCGCTACGTAAAACATCATGCAGCTAGGGTATTGGTTTACTTGGGATTCTCGTACCGAATCAATATTTCAATTTTTGACATGTTTCAAGGTAAGGAATGTATACAAATTCAATATTCAAATTATTGAGTGTTTTGACCTTTCAATGCTTGAAATATTCGTACGTTTCCTTAAAATCCTAAACAACGATACTACTTATTAATATTAAGGACAAGGCCACAGGGTGCATGTTATAGCCATATTATAGTTTAAATTAATAATTGTAAATAAAAGTTAAAAATACACTTCCTTTTGGTATTAAATTCCTATCATTAATTATTTATTATGAACTTAACTTAAAGTAAATACATTAAAATTATTTAATAAAATAATCATTCTGATGAGAAAAATAATTTTGATTACAATTTATGATATTTATTTGTTTGATTTTTTTTTTTTTTAAGCTTTATATAATACAATTTTTATATCCTAATACATAGATATTGTTATGTTTTAGTAAAATCTCATGATAAAAATATAATTTAATTTTACATATTATTAGGTACAATTAATTTGTAATGCTTAGTAAATGCTACGTATAACTAGTTAACTAGTGTTTGCATTAATATTTATTATATACATATTATATTATATTCATAATTTACATAAAATCCATAAAATAACTCTGAATAATATATCACATTATTACTCAACTTATCGTCTTATACAATATCATATAATATTATTTTTAATATTACAATTAAGAGTTTTTATTGATCTCACTCGCTGTTGTTTATAAATAATCCTTTATTTATGATGATTTTTTTCATTTACATCAATAATTATGAGAATAATGAATAATTCAAGAACTTCCATGCAAACTAAATAATCTTAATCTATTATTTATCTAATATCTTAAATATTTCAATATGTTCTAAGAAAACCCCAACAATCAAACAATTTACCTACCTATGACAAAATGCATGTTAGAAAAATATTATTTTGACAATAGGTAATAAATTAATTGCCGATTTAAAAATTAAAAACATGAATATTAATATAAAATTGTTCACCAAATTCATGTATGAAACGTTAACACGAAAACATTTTCTTTCTGATTTTTTCTGTTATTTTGGAAAATATATTTTGAAACAATAACCAATTTAAATCACGTAATGTTACAAAGCTCAAATAAAATATATATGAACTTTAAATTTTGAATAAATGATGACACAAAGGTTTTATTTAAGAATGTTTGAATAATTGTTGTTTCTGTATTATATTTAATGTTATTTCTATGGATATCATAATACCTTTAAAGTCTCTTGCTTTTAATTTATTATTTACGGTATACAGATATGTGCAGATATATTACACAAATTACGTCACAAAGGACTTTTGAGTAATGTTTCTCTTTTTTAATGTAAAATATCATTATTATGTTATATTAAATCTTTATTTTTAGGATAGTTAATTTTTTTTTTCTATATAAAAAATTTGATTTTAGTTTTTCATATTAGATAATTGCTACTTTTTAACTGAATTCTAACGCGTTATTAATAATTAGCTAATATTTTAAAATTACCTGTTTATTAATTTATAGATTTATAAACAGGGTAATTATACAAAATTAAAAAATAATATTTTAAATTTTAAATAGAGGAAAATCTTTTTTGAAATTATGATTACTTATATTCATTGTATTACTCTATATAAATTGAAGTTTTTATTTTAATAATTATCGCATTCCCTTCATGGATATAAATATAAATCCATATCTATAATATTAAATATTTATATTTACATAGGATAATTATAATAAAGTTAATGTGTATTCATTTTAATGTGAAGTTAATGATTTTCGTTAGTTAGTGTGATTTCTAAACATTTGAGCCAAAAAAAGCTGAGTCAGATAACTACTAGAAAAGTTCAGAAACAATTGTTGTCATTTTCAATTTAACTACTCGTTTTTAAAAACATCTAGTTTTTTTATTATGAAAATTAATTTCAATGATTATATTTTGATTAAATTCTGTTCATTGTGGAACATTATTTCCATCCATAAACTGTTGATGATTTTTATTGTAATAACTTTGAAGGCTGTTGTTTTTTCTCAGTAAGTACAATATGATACGATAATATAATTCAAAAATTTAAAAACCTGTAATTTAGCAATTATATTTGTAAATGATTATACTTTAAATTATGGTGAAATTAGTTTTCACGAATATTATAATTCTAATAATGTGGTTGATGATAATTTATGTAAAATTTAATACTTAATAATATGCATCATTTTATTTTTTAAACATGAAGTGTTCTGTGTTTTGTATATTATATTGTATTTATGTTTTAAATTAATGCAAAACTCATGAACTGTGATTATGTTTAATAAAATTCAAAATTTGTAATTATATTATCATATTCCCTGATATTTTCAATCTTTTTTTTAAACTTTATATTTTATCAAAATGATACTGAGATTAACAATAGGTACCTACCTAATACTTAATCAAGAATATTCTTTATTACATTTGTACGTAAATTGTATTTAAATTTAATGCAATTATTGCAAATATTATTTTTAATTTTTCTTGCAAACATTTTTATAATTGTTTGTTAAAAAGTTTGTAAAACAATATGTTTGTTATTATTATTACAATTAATAATATTTTAGTAGATGTACAACCAAATCCACCCATARCAAAATCATATGAAGACAACTACATCGCTGTGACGTCCTTATCTCCAAGTTTTGTATTGAACTCAAATCAGACAAAGCTATTAGGTGTATCAATTGAAACTGCAATTATGAACGTGTTAAAAGAGATTGAGGTAAACTATTGCTTTGATATATTAACTTATTTAAAAAAAAAATCAATATTTAGAGTACCTAACTATGAATGACAGGTATAGACTGTAAACTCAGTTGAATTATGATCATTTTTAATTATTCTTATTAACTATTATAAATTAACTTCTGTACCTACCTTTAGTTACGCAAAGTAAATGTCTCAAAAGTTAAAATTATAGTAGGTACATTAATAACAAACCCAATATAATTTAGAAAATGTATCACATATTTGGATAATAGTTTTCAAAATATATATTTCATTTTTATTGTAGGAGTACAGTATACTTATTTCTGATTTAATATTCTAAAAATTGTAAAATTAAACCATTTGTTACAAAGTACTTTTCACAACATTTCATTTAGATTAGGTACTCAGAAAATGATAACTAGKTATTCATTTATTTTTTCTCCACTTGAATTATTTCAAGTATCATCTAATAGTAATATAAAATATAACAATATTGGATCAAATGTTAATATAAAGTATAATAATGTAAAATATAAAATAATGTTTAGCAATCATTAAGTCAAACTGCTACACCGTCTGAAGTTTTCACATTGCATTGGGCACTGAATGGCAAATCTTATAGTCTTCTACAAGATAATGGTATGTAAAAATAATTCAATTTGTGTGGTTAAACACAAGTAGAACTTACCATATATAAGAGTAAACTGTAACAGAAAACATTCACACGCTRTTTGGTAAATTGAATTACGTATAATATTTTGCATTRAACATGTTTATTTTTATTTAACCACTATTAATAAATAAATCATATGAAGCTCATAGACATATCGTACGTGCCAAAACGCAAAAYCATAGTTWACGCTTTATTATTGTGTAACATGATAATAATACTAAATATATTATTATGGTAATCGTAACATGCAGTATTTTAGTTTTGATCGATGTACAATTAATGAAAGTGACAATTTAATGTTTGTGTAATAGAATAAAAAAAAAAAAAAATCATTAAATGCTAGATGTACTAATTTATCAATTACGATTTGAAACATAAGGTTATGTGCTCTTGTAAATGAATATGACGTTGATATTACATACATAATATACATGCCTTACAAAATATTCTCAAATTCTATCGACTTGGGTTGTCGAATATCGTTTACGAGTACGTACACATTTTTTGTATTTTAATGTTTAATTGGTTAGTGAATGTCGATTTGATCGATTAACTAGGTAGTTGTGATGTTAATTTTGTCTTATTTAAATATAAAATTTAATGTAATTTACTCCAACTCGTATAATTATAATATTATTAATAATATGTAAAACTTTTATGCTATATACTTAAGATTCTCTTAATAMTATGGTCACAAAATCTTCTCGGAATCTGGTTAAAATTCAAGAGCTCTTTAATATTAAACTGTTAGGAGTGTATTTTTGACGAAGCATGACTTTGGACACGATTGTGAAAACTTCTTATTGAAGTCCGATTGAAATACCAAATTCGCGTGAAGTCCATATACTGTTTTAATATATAAATAGATAAAATCCATTATGAGAAAAAAAAATGTTACAACTAATTCAATATAATTATATTAAATTATGGTTTCTACAGTGAAATAAAGCAACAAGTAATTTTTATGAGTTTTAGAAAATATTTAATTTTATGACCATACCCGATATTCAAATGACTCGATGTTTATATGTATATGCTAACGTACTGTGGAAATTAGTTACTAGAGTGTTAAGAATATATCGGTAGTAGGTACATACTGGTGTGAATGATATGTCTTGCGATTTTAACTAAGATAGACTGCTGCCGAGTTGTTTTTGAATAGCTATTATATATGGGTATGAAAATCCCCTCTACTATTGATGAATGTCAGTCGTACAGAACGTTCAATCCATAATACCTATGATGCACTCATATATTATCGATGTGTGTATTCTATGACCTAGTTCAGAACCATAAAATGTTTGCGAACTCCCGTACACCGTACGTTGGTGTGTCCCATTAGACGTTTGATCTAAAATGCGTGTGAAATATAATATTATAATCTGTTACAATATGTGTCATTATATATCACGTATAGTCATATTGAACTAAGATACTATTGGTCCGTTCATRGAAAATAATTATCGAAATATTTTATGTTATATATAAATATATGCGAACTCAACGACGTATTTTGTGGTTATATAAGTTTATTGTTGTGCTAATGTGTGCTGCGTTTGTTATCAGAACAACGTATGACCGAAAACAAGTATCCAACAGATGTCCGTTCGTCACTGTTTGTGCAGACCTTCGTGGCATGCGCCGCGAGCACCATGGACCCCGTGCTCTTGGTCCGGTTGCTCGCCAACCGTCTAGTCACCACACCACTTTACCCACGAAACAGTTCAAGTATCACATCGATGTCAGGGCAAGACCCGTTCCCTCCCAGAACTACGAGGAGTCGAGCCTCGTCAACAGACACGAATGCCAGCACCCGAAGAAAACGCGTAAGTTATAGTACCATCGTATATTGAATATAAGTATAACAATAATAAGTACTTTTAATATGGGGGGGGAAGGCCAAAATAATAAGAATTTTATATATTATTTGCATTAAAAACAGCTAGGTATGCTACAAACTTTAATCCAATGCTCTTCCTAATCCGTCCTTTAGGAAAACATTTGATTATACAAATTATAATTTTTTTTTTTTTCAATGCATATTTTAATATTTTWAATTATTATAATACCTAACCTCCATGTTTATTTCTAATTAAATTTATTTTAAAATTTTAATGCAGATAATTGCGTAAATGCACGCATGTCCTGTATTTTTTAGTGTATACAATACCCGTATCCTATCAACCATACATACAGGTACCTATATTTTAATACTTTACTGCAGCAGATATCACATTAAATTGTATACGTACCTATACTGATAGCCATAGTATGTGTATTATAACTCGTCGTTGACCATGCCATATAGTTATTATAGTACTATTATTTTCCAACTATTTCAATCTAGAATTTTAACTATTCACGAGTCAGTGTTCATTATCGACTGTTTAAATTAAACAATATCAAGTCAATATCAAATTAATATACATACACTGTGTTATTATATGTGGTGTGAATAGTGTGGCTTATCGACTACAACGCTTGGGGAACAGACATAATAATATTATTATCTACGGTTCTATAGACCATAATCATGGAATATCCATAATAGTATATTATAATATGCACACCATATATATATATATATATAAACTACATATTATCATAATACACATAAGGACATAATGGTTAGAATAATGCAGCTTGGCTTTAAAGTGATAATTAATTTTTTTTTTTATTTGAACAAAAATTGGATTCAAAATTTTAACTTATTTAGCGACTGTGGTTAATTAAGCCACAATAAGTTTTATTTCTGAAAACCAGTGAGTATTAGTCAATCACAACAAATATATTTGTTGCTATAAATCAAAATGTGAATATAAAAGTTGCATTTTTGTTCAAATTCTATTACATTTTGATTGTAAGTAATTATATTGTTTTCATGTAATTTTTCAGATCAATAATTTAAGTCTKGATACTACAAAATGTTATGGTTATGATTCAGTTGATGGAATTCCTTCAAAAGGGAAATCAAAATCGGTAGGCATGTATATTCGTCGCCGTCGGAGCAGTAGCAGCAGCACAGGTGGTTTTGGTATTGAACCAGCCCTTCAAGCAACTTTTAATGCTTTTTCAACTATAATCAAACATGACGTATTTAAAGATAACACAATGAGTCCAGACATAGATATTGATGAATATAGAACTTCTAGTGGTCAGTGAAATTATAAATATAACTTATGYATATCATTATAGCTATTAGGTACTTTTATTTGAATAGAACGTAAATAAATCAAGTTTTTTTCATTATCAATATGTTTTATTAATTTATCATGAACACGTGACAAAGTATTTGAAATAATTCACACAACCTCAATATTCTTATTAATTATTGTATGAATATTTAATCGAGATTTGAGAAATGCGCTAATGTGACAGTAAAAGCTTTTTTATTCATTTTAAATTTCAAAGTAATTAAACATGATGATTTGTTTAAAAATATTATGTWTAATTATTAACAGTTTCATTGACTTCAACAAAAGCACTACCTGGAGGACTGAACTTTCAATTTCCTCCGAGAAATCGCCCATCTGTAAAGTCGTCCAATATTCGTAATATCACCAATGAGCGATCTAAATCACAAGCAAACATCACAAAGGTAATATTGAAATGTAATATGTTTTATAAGTGCACTTGAATATACAAAACTGTTCTCATAAATGCGAAACATTAAAAATGAATATAAAAACTCAAATACTCAACTTTTATTTGTATTTTAAGAAGTACATAACTTGAAGTTAACTCTTATTTCTTTAGATCTCAGTTTTATCCTATAGATATATACTTTCATCCGGTTATTATTTCCAGTGTAATTGGTTCATATTTATTGAATTTATTGCATCACCTAATCTATATTCTGTATAATCTACCTCTGATATAACATTTTTGTTATAGATAATATCGGTCAATATGTCAATATGTTATACTTTTAGTTAACATTATCTTATCCTTGTTTATATAAATACACCTTTTGTCTAAAAAGGTTATTTTTGAATTTCTTTAGTAGCTCAACATTCTATTTATATRATATTATATTAAAAGTCCTTATCCATATACGTAAAAATATATTTGTAAATGTTTTTTATTGGAATTTCAAAAAATAATAAAATATCTATTCATTATTAAATACTCGAGTACTGAAATGATATATATTGTGATTTTTGACATTAAATAAATTAAACTCCAAACCGAACTTTGGTATATACCATTACCATTGTATAACAATAAGTTATAGATATTTGAGGTTTCGGTTGTAAAATAATAATTAACTATTTATAATTTTACAAATAAAAACAATTCGAATTCTGAGAATTGTCTATGCGCATTGCATGGATAGGTATATCGAATACAAGAAAATGTATATATTATTGACATAGTTCATATTATTTAAAGCTTAAGTATTGAAAACTAAATATGCATAACTCAAATAGAAAATGTAATATGTGTTTTAAATAGTGTCTTCAAWCCCTAAAAAATTTAAATTTGACTATTTTATATTTAGGTAAGGAGTGACTCTTATCAACAAACACCAGAACAAGAAATTTTAGCCATACAAAAACAATTGCAAAATTTACCGGATTTGGATTCTCCCAGTCGTGTATTTTCAAGACGCTTGCCGTTAGATTCTACATTCACAACAGCCAATACCGAATTCATCCCAGTAACAAGACCAAGATCTAGATCTATGCCTCGTGTTGCTTACGAATCAAACCGCTATTTGACATTACCAGATTCATTCCCATTCAATTGTCGTTTGCCAAGAGGTCGTTCGGCTGGAACATTGGGATTTCAGGTAATTCTTTACATAAACATACAACTTTTTTAATCGTATAATATTAATTAAGTTATAAATTATTCAGTGTATTTTTTAAAGAAATTTACACAAATAATATTATACCTACATGAATATTTAATAATATATAGGTAACCATATCAATTATAAATGAA